ATATAATATATAATATTTTTGAATACTTTTGCACAAAGAATATTCTGTTGGAGTCAGCAAAACATTAAAGCATTATTCACTTAATAGTAATGCCATTAATAGTACATAGTTTTCAGTGTAAATTCTACCAGAATATTAAAATACACGAGTTTTAAAAACATGAATACATTTTAAAAATTAATACCACTCTAACGCCTAAACACTGGTTTATTATTTGCAGTATTATATTATGTTTTGGCCATAAAAGTGTACAGAATTTATACTTAGAAATGGTGTGAAAATATTTTTGTTTGCAAAACATAATATAATCCATTTAAACATTATCTAAAACTCTGAGATAAAATGTTTAATTGCTTAAAATGTTTAAAACATAGTTTTAAAATCGTGGTAACAATTATTTATTGAATTTCGTAAAGTGCCTCTCAATTTATAAATAATATATGTATAAGATTTATGATGTTATATTATAAAGTTTTACATTATGTATGTTATAATAACTAATATTATAACAATGCACTGAAAAATGTTTATAGATTTATAATGGTAAGCCATAGATTTATTTATACACTATAATAATAACAATATAATGTATATGAATATAACACATAAATCTCCTTTTATGTAAATAAAGTAAGCAATAATAAAAATGTGTACACATTTGACATTAACATATCGAAACCAGCGCTCATTATTACAGTATTATTACATGTATTTTCTGTGATATTAAAGTATATTTATATCCAAATAGTTTTGCCTCAAAAATAGCAAAAATTATGAATAATTTTCATAACAATATTTATAAGTCTTTTCACGATTGACTAAATCCTTATACGAAATAATATATGATTAGTATTATTAACAATTTGATAGAAGAGCTGTCAGTTTGCGCACAATTCAACGCTTCGATAGCCATCTAAAGGTTTTGATTAATTATTTATCTGATTATATAGTGACTGGTGGTCGAGGTTTTGGTGCCAATGAGAGAGAGTATAAGACAGACTTAGAGAGAGAGAGTGAGAGAGAGAGAGGAATCGGTGGTATATATAACTAGCCGTTCATCACTATTATATTGATATATCTATCTATCCGTACATTATATAAACCTCAAAGTTCTTAGCCTTTTATGTCTCTCCCTTTCAATGGCAGCAAATGTTGTCTAATTTAATTAGCGATGCATTTACTGCGAGCCCTATTGTCTTAACCACTGATATTCATTCAATTATATCAATAAACTGTTTGGAGAAATGCCTTTCCCTTTCGGAGGCGAGAAATTAATTGCTATTTAAGCCGTTGATATCGATCGCCGAGAGAGAGAGAGAGAGAGAGAGAGAGAGAGAGAGAGACGACCGATGCATTCATATCACTGGTGTATTCAAACCTAACATAGGATTTAAATATTAAAACAATAGCAAACAAACAACAAAAACCAATGCATAAATTTATATAACAAATTTCAATGCAACAGATTTTCCGTTACTATTTCTGATGTAAAAAAAGTAAAACAAATGCAAATTCATTAGAAATTTAATTTACTTTAAATATTCTGACAGAATATGAAAAATATTAAAGAATATTCTGTAAAATTGATTTCTCGCTAAACGCATTGTAAACAACATAAATGTTTTGCAAACTAAAGATAACGGGTGCTATTAATTCAATTGTATTCAATGATAAATACAGTCCATTATTTATGATTGCGTACAATATTTAGAGATATGATTAAAAGTGGGACTATTTTTGGTGTACACTAATCAAAAACCTTAATAAAAGGGAGACTTTATTATTATTATTGTATACACAATGCCATACACTTTAAGCCGACGAAAATAAATCAATATTTCAAAACACATTTTCTATACTCAAAGGCAGGGAATGTGGAAACAAAATAATATTGTCTTTAATATGTAATGTTTACCTAAAAAAAGTTAATAAATTTTGCCCTTTTGTTGCACACAAACACATGGCGTGTATTTTGAAAGAGAATTTTGTTCAATATTATAAATATTAAAGTTAAACACAAAAATGTAATATTTTAATCAAAAGTAATTTTGTATCGATAAAAGCTACAACCAAAAGCTTGGAACATAAAGCTAAAACAAAAATAACAAAAAACCCCATTTCTCTCCTCTATTCCCAATTTAATTTTTAAAATGACATAAATATTGAGCAAAACATAAGACATTAGCGTTTCTAGACTTTAGAGATGAATGGGTTTGAAAGAGAGAAATCTCGAGATATAATTATATTTCATTGATTTTCTCATTTGTCGCCAAAAGAGAGAAAAATATTTTTGCAAAATATAAAGAATTTACAGAATTTATCAAAGAATTTCATTTCAAATAAAAATAATAATTTATAAAATAAATTATAGACAACAAGAATATTCTTACGCTCGAGTCGGAGCGGTGTGTGACAGGCGGGCCATACCGTCTGCGGGACACCACTGCGGGTCAGCCACTCGACTGTTGGTCGCAGCAGACAATCGCAATGCCATGGATTCAGCTCCAGATGGAGGGCGTGCAAACCCTGGAGGTCGGCCAGTGCTGCGGCCGCTAACGTCCGCAATCGGTTGCCGTCCAACCGAAGTGAGCGCAACTCGTTTAGGCCGCGAAACGCCTGGCCGTCCACTGAATCGATCTGACACGAGGACAGGTCTATAGCGACCAATGTATGCAAATTGCGAAACGATTCCTCCCGTACGACACGAATGGGGTTTAAACAGAGGGACAGTTTGCGCAATGATTTGCACTGTTGTAGCGCTACTGTGGGTATGGATTGCAACGAATTGTCACACAAATCGATTTCCACTAAATTCGTTAACTGTAGGAACGAGTCGTCGGATATATCGCCTGTATTTATGGTGTTGTGTTGTTTTGGTTGAGTGTGTTTTGCATATCACAGGCCATAACAGCGAGAATATAAGAGACAGAATATAAAGAGTATAAACATATTATAAATACGAAGAATATATAAGAATATAAAGAATTTTAAGTGAAAAAAAATCTCGTTTGAATTGTGAAGAGAAAGAGTGAGTAAAAAATGTGAGAAAAAAAGAGGAAGAGATTTGAGATTTAATTTAATTTGAATAATAAAAGAGTGGAATATATAATAAAAGTCTCGTCTATTTATCTACTCTCTCTCGACGAAAACATAGTTTTTATTTGCATTTTTTATTGACACCAAAACCTCGACCACCAGTCACTATATAATCAGATAAATAATTAATCAAAACCTTTAGATGGCTATCGAAGCGTTGAATTGTGCGCAAACTGACAGCTCTTCTATCAAATTGTTAATAATACTAATCATATATTATTTCGTATAAGGATTTAGTCAATCGTGAAAAGACTTATAAATATTGTTATGAAAATTATTCATAATTTTTGCTATTTTTGAGGCAAAACTATTTGTATATAAATATACTTTAATATCACAGAAAATTATAATAACGGTAATAATACTGTAATAATGAGCGCTGGTTTCGATATGTTAACGTCAAATGTGTACACATTTTTATTATTGCTTTACTTTATTTACATAAAAGGAGATTTATGTGTTATATTCATATACATTATAGTGTATAAATAAATCTATGGCTTACCATTATAAATCTATAAACATTTTTCAGTGTATTGTTATAATATTAGTTATTATAACATACATAATGTAAAACTTTATAATATGACATCATAAATCTTACTATACATACATGTAACATGTATATTATTTATAAATTGAGAGGCACTTTACGAAATTCAATAAATAATTGTTATCACGATTTTAAAACTATGTTTTAAACATTTTAAGCAATTAAACATTTTATCTCAGAGTTTTAGATAATGTTTAAATGGATTATATTATGTTTTGCGAACAAAAATATTTTACACCATTTATAAGTATAAATTCTGTACACTTTTATGGCCAAAACATAATATAATACTGCATATAATAAACCAGTGTTTAGGCGTTAGAGTGGTATTAATTTTTAAAATGTATTCATGTTTTTAAAACTCGTGTATTTTAATATTCTGGTAGACTTTACACTGAAAACTATGTACTATTAATGGCATTACTATTAAGTGAATAATGCTTTAATGTTTTGCTGACTCCAACAGAATATTCTTTGTGCAAAAGTATTCAAAAATATTATATATTATATATAATAATAGCATGAGATATACGTTAGGACTACAGTCTAGTGAATATAGCACTCCATGTAAAGTATATATAATATACAAGAATTGAGAGTAAAAATGCGAGATTTAATACCAGAAGAATATAATACACAATAACTTAATATCCTTTCAGGATATATAATAACTTAGGAAACAGAATATTCTTCAGTAAATAAAAAAGTAGTGAATAAAGTAAACGCCAGCGAAAAATATACAGAGAGAGAGAGAGAGAGAGAGAGAGAGAGGCCTAAAATCATAATATATATCGAGACTATAAAAACTAATAAAAATAAATTTCATTTAAAAAATACTGCATTGAATCAAATTTCTTATAATGAAATTACCGTACATTATATACTGTTTATAACGTACGGCAGCCCTCTATACACAAAACCCACATTGTTTTTAATATGAATATTTCAACATTTTTCCTATTAATTCTGTGAAATATATTATTGTTTTTTGGGAATAAATTATTTTACATAAAGAATAACAATAATAATAAAATAATGAATTTTCTTCTCTATGCTATTCATATGCTTTGCAATATATTTCCTAAGATATTATGCAATATTTAAAGAGATTTTGTTACGTTTTTCATTCAACACAAAAAATCTGCTCATAATATAAATTGCATAACAATTTTCATCGCGAGTTAGTAATTGCTTTCATCGCATAGTTTTATCATTAAATATATGATTGTTTTAAAAGAGCTAAAGATATGATGCAGAGAGAAGAAAATTCATTATTTTATTATTATTGTTA